CCATTCTTAAGACTGAGCTTTCTATTTCATGATGATTGCTACAGTGGGCAATATCAGAACAAAGAGCACCTCCAAATCTACTCCACTGATTATGAGACTTGTCTTATAGTAATGCAGCAGAAAGCGGAAAGGATCCTGGGGAGCTTTTGAATCTCAAAGGCAGTTAGCTCCTGTTCTGACCTCCTGAAAACCAGCTTGTAAGAAAAAAAGTTAATTAAAGACAAGGCAATATTAGTGTAGCCAGAAGGTGAATTAGCATGTGATTATTGCAACGAAGAGTCCTGAACTGTTCTTGGTCAAATCTGAGCCTATTCTCAGGTCTGACTTTGTGTTTTCCTATCTACTGGCTGTATGCATACTAAAGGAAAAAGTTTCCAACTTGGGTGCCTGAAATAGTTGATCATATTATGCTTCCACTGAAATCAATAGCATTTACAGATACCCAGCACCTCTAAAAAAAATCAGGCCACTTACATGTTTAATATGGAGTTAGGTGCCTAACTTGAGGCAGTAAAGTTTGACATTTTTTGCCATATAGAAATTAGGCACCTTAGATCATTCCAGAGTCCTTTCAGCAATACAAAGAGCCAACCAGGACTATACTAAGCCACCTCAAGGAAATTCTTTTGTTAATATGCTACACACCATGTTGTGTATTGGAGAACAGCTGTGGTTACTTTGTTATAAATTTATTAGGTCTACGTTACACCAATTAACTGTAAAGTAGAGGTGGTTGGGAATTTTCCAACAAAAGATGGTTTGTCAGAAAATACCCATCTGTTGACCCCAAAATGTTTCCAAGAACATAAGAACGGCCATACTGGGTCAGACCACAGGTCCATCTAGCCAAGTATCTTGTCTTCTGATAGTGGCCAATGCCAGGTGCTTCAGAGGGAATGAACAGAACAGGTAATCAAGTGATCCGTCCCTTGACGCCCATTCCCAGCCTCTGGCAAACAGAGGCTAGGGACACCATCCCTGCCCATCCTGGATGATAGCCACTGATTGGCCTATCCTCCATGAACTTACCTAGTTCTTTTTTTAACCCAATTATAGTCTTGGCCTTCACAACATCCTCTGGCAAAGAGTTCCACAGGTTGGCTGTGGGTTGTGTGAAGAAATACTTCCTTTTATTTGTTTTAAAACTGCTACCTATGAATTTCATTTCGTATCCCCTAGTTCTTGTGTTATGAGAAGGAGTAAATAACACTTCCTTATTTACTTTCTCCATACCAGTCATGATTTTATAGATCTCTATCATATCCCCCCTTAGTTGTCTCTTTTCAAAGCTGAAAAGTCCTAGTCTTATTAATCTCTCCTTATATGGAAGCTGATCCATGAGAGGACCTTCCCTCTTAACCCATGACACCTTACTTTGCTGAGGGACCCTGTCAAAGGCTTTCTGAAAATCTAAGTACACTATGTACACTGGATCCCCCTTGTCCACATGCTTGTTGACACCCTCAAAGAATTCTAGTAGATTGGTGAGGCATGATTTCCCTTTACAAAAACCATGTTGACTCTTCCCCAACAAATCATGTTCATCTGTGTGTGTTTGACAATTCTGTTCTTTACTATAGTTTCAACCAGTTTGCCCGGTACTGAAGTTAGGCTTATCGGGCTTTAATTGCCGAGATTGCCTCTGGAGCCTTTTAAAAAAATTGGCATTATATAGGCGATCCTTCAGTCATCTGGTACAGAAGCTGATTTAAATGATAGGTTACATACCACAGTTGTCAGTTCTGCAATTTCACATTTGAGTTCCTTCAGAACTCTTGGGTGAATACCATTTGGTCCTCTCTTTAGCTTTTTTCTTTGCTCCTTCCTGCTCAGGACCTAAATGAAATTCAAGCTTTAAATGCTCAACTCCTGCATTGCTAATGGGAAACAGCTAAGTGAAAGATATCCTCTTCCCCCTTTTATAAATGGTAACTAGACTCAAGGGAAGAATAATTTGTATCCTGTGGCTCTTATTAACTACTATCAAAAGATCAGATTCTTAAGAACTGATTTTTTTAACAGGTACAACATTCTGGATTGTAAGGGAACTAGGAAGCTCAAGAGACACACTCATCATATAGATCAAACCAAAGAGAAGCCTGAATTTATAAAGGGACTGAAATGTTTGTGAGGTTCAATAAATGAACTACAAACACCAACAACTCTCTCTTTTTGAGACTGAGTAAATGCTGGATTAAACATAGCTAGGTAAAAAAAAATCTACATCACAACTATGAAACTAGAAAAGCAACTAACTACCTTTCTTTCCATCATAAACTAATGATCAGATAGGATGACAAGTGTTAATTATTTTTTTCTTTTTTGCCAAGGGACCATGTCCCTCTTCACATTTCTTTATGTTTGGTCAAAAGATAAAATACACTGGGAGTCAGATTCACTAATGCTGTTGAAGGAAGGCGTAAATTAAAAGTACTGTGCCACAGGGTTAAATCACCTGAAGGAAGTCATGTGATATTAATATTTTAAAGCTTCAAAATGGGCACACAGATTTTCAGTCAGAAGTACTATAAATTCCTTGATACATGTAAAAATATTGTTGAGAAATACAGTTACGAAGCAATGAAGAAAAATACACATAGCATATAAGTTTATTCTTTTTGATAAACTGAATAAGCACATATCTACTGTGATCTACAACATGTGTATGTATTATCCCATGGTAGCAAGTCTAACATCCATGTCTACCCAGATTCCTTTATGTCTTTACACCTACAGTAACTCCTCACTTAAAGTTGTCCTGGTTAACGTTGTTTTCTTGTTATGTTGCTGATCAGTTAGGGAACATGCTTTACAGTTGCACAATGCTCCCTTATAACGTTGTGAGGCTACATTAACAAAAATGTGTTAACTCTTGAGGGCTCAGCCGAGTGCTAGTTCAGCATTTAGCAGTAAGGCATTCCCTGGGAAATATCCCACCCTCTGACTTCACCACCTCAACCAAGCTTCATAATCATCATTGCTGTGTATAGTATTAAATTGTTTGTTTCAAATTTATACTGTGTGTGTGTGTGTGTGTGTGTGTGTGTGTGTGTGTATATATATATATACATATGATATAAAATATAGTCTTTTGTCTGGTGAACATTTTTTCCCTGGAACCTAACCCTCCTATTTATATTAATTCTTATGGGGAAATTGGATTCGCTTAACATTGTTTCACTTAAAGTCGCATTTTTCAGGAACATAACTACAACATTAAGCAAGGAGTTATTGTACTTGTTTCTAAACCTCCCCCACCTGCATGGCAAGCTCTCTCTATTACTCATTGCCCCCCTCCCAACTTTTTATTCAATGCCACTTGATCAGCTTTCATCTGGGGTAGCATTTCAGCAATACTGTTTGGCACATTTCAGAGTTATAACCTCTCTGTTTTAAATCCAGTTCATTTTGTAATATCTTTAAATATACAATGATACCACACAAGTAATTGAGAAATGACTATACCCATATGTATAAGGATGTATTCTAAAGGGTTTCCTTTATTAAAATAAACTCCAGCTCAAAGAGAAAAGCTTGAGCCACTTACACGTGACAAGTTCTTGGGCTAAATATACATCATGTATGTACTTACATTTTAATTAAGAAGTGTGTTGTACAAATTTTTTTGCTGTTACTATTCTAACAAGATGACAAAACTGAATGTTTTGTAAGGGAGTTTGCTATAGTCTAGTTAAGAATTTTTTTTTTAAATATTCAACCTTTTAATTTTGAAATGTCGTGGAACATAGAGCAAAATCACCTTCATTAAGAACATCTTATTGTTGCAAACCAGGATATTATAAACACAACACTATTGAAAAGATAAGGGTAATTTATAAGACTATCGGATGTTCATGTATTATACACAATAAATAAAGGGCAACTCTGAATTACAGGACTAAAGGTCTATAAAGTGGTTTTGCAATGACAAATCATGATAGCAAAGCTAGAGTCACCAAGATCCAGGGATGGAATTATAGCCAAGTAATTCAAACCGTGCCTGTTTTATATTTTATATATTATGAGGATTCCACATAAAGCATCTTCATTTTCAAACAAAGCCCCAGCTGCTTGTTTTGAAAAACGTGTTTGAGTGCCCTTCCTCTAAACACTACCAGAGCAGCTTTCATCTTAAGACGTAATGCTGTGGTTTTCCTCTGTACAAGTTAAGAAGCAGCTTTCTTTGCAATGTAACATTCTAGAAATCTTTCCTTTAACATATTTGATGTCATTCTTGTGACTAAAGTGCAGGGTGCAGTCATACTTGTGAATTACAACACTTTTTGTTCACAGCAAATAGAACAAGAATAAAGCTGCTTGTCATTTGAGATGATGCAAATAATATAGGTACAGTATATACATATCCATTGTCTAAATCAGTATCATATGATTCTGTTTAGACAGTTGCTAGCCCATTAATACGTTTGAGTGCCAAATACTATTGGTCCAGCTAGTAGAGCAATAGTGTGAAACTATTTTTAGTTACATAAATACTGGTGATAAAGAATATAGGCAAAGAAGTGAGGGTTGTCCAGAGGCTCGAGCAGGAGATAGAGCTTAGGGATCCCTAAGCGCTATTATTGGCACTGCTGCTGATCTGTTGCATTACTTTAGGGAAGTCACTTAACCCATTTGTATCTCATTTTCCCCATCTGAAAATGTCATTAATAGCCACAGTTCCTTACATGAGTGTTTGAGGTATAAACCTGTTTTTACTTAAAATGTTTTTAGATCTTCAGATGAGATATTAAGAGCAAAACATTGCTATTACTAATTAAATTGCATTTTGCATGCTAAAGGAGGGGCCTTTCTTCACCCTTCCCAACGCAGCACCTTAAAACACTAAACCTTAACAGTTTGGTTGATATTGATCAAACTTTTGGAAGAAATCAGTTGTTTTCTCCTGTTAAAAAGAAACCTATTCAGTCATAGACAATCCTGTGTTACTATTCTTAACAGTAATTTTTAACATGACCACTAGATGGAAATATTGTACTTACAGTTGGAGATGTGGCTGCAGATAACAATGGTAAAATCCCTCCACAAGCAATGATAATATTGTCTACCATCTGGGAAATGAGGTGGATCGTGTTGTGTACAAAAATAATGTTTTCATTGCTATTGACAAAGTCCATTACAGATTTTGTAGAATGACTAAAAAAATAGGGAAAAAAAAAAGATATTAGAACACCAATGTTTTTTAAAAGTTTAGATTCTCTGTTTTTTGAAACCCGAACTTGAATGTTTCCTAGTTGTATGGTATTGTCTTTGTAATAATAAAAAGATAAAATTAAAAATATTTTAAAATACTGATAGGAGCTAGTCTAGCATAATAACTTAGTGCTATTTTTATTTCATACCAGACTATAACTATTTCTATACTATCCGTTATAGAGCCCAGACTCTGCCAATCTTAACACTGTTTAGTGCCTTACTTCACAAACAATTCTGTTGGAACCAATGGGACCGCTCACGGAGTAAAGTACTGTACTGTCCAACATGAATAAGGGTGGCAGAATTTGGCACTTAATGATATCTTTTAAAGCAGCTCTGATAATAACGAATGACCAGATTGTCTACAAGAGAGGTCTCCAGAGTGATCTGTAGACCACCAGCAGCCCACAAAGCACCTGCTGGTGTTCTTTAGAGAGTTGGTTGGTCACAAGTGTAAGCTTCTCTTTATTTCCACTTGCTATATTCCACTAAAAGATAGCTAAAAATATAGAACTGTGTTCCTAATATTAATTTTCCATGTTAGTAATAGCTGTAGATGACACAGGGATCAAATGATAAACATGAGACACAACCATCCCCATGGGAAAGTGTCCATAGGACAAATTACTTTCAAGATGTAATTCACATTATGAAAATGTTTAGGAGCGTTTGGTCTATTGATGTTATGTGCTTGTCCATAACACAGCATGAGTAATTAAATTACCCAGTTCGTGAAATTAGTGGCCAGTAAACAAACAGTATTGGCCTTAATTGCAGAAGGAATTACAAACTAAACTTCTAATTTGCCTGTGAATTTCAGGGAAACAAAGGGGGCAAAAATAAGGTGATTGGTATAAAAAAAACTACTACTACTGACTATTTTATAGTACCAGGTTTCAGAGTAGCAGCCGTGTTAGTCTGTATCCGCAAAAAGAACAGGAGTACTTGTGGCACCTTAGAGACTAACAAATTTATTAGAGCATAAGCTTTCGTGGGCTACAACCCACTTCTTCGGATGCATATAGCATTTTATTTTATAGTAAGGTCACACAAACGTGGAAATTAAATTTAAGCCAATTGGTAATCTGATTTAATTAAGCGAATTCTCAACTACTGATAATACAGCATTACAGCCTTTGCAGAATGAATTATGCCATTCTGGGAAATAGATTAAATAGTGCCTGATGTACCGCTGGACTTTGACTACAAGTAGTAACTATTAAGGTAGTTTCTTTGCTTAACTAAAAGGAATCATAACAGAAGAGTCATCACGGTGAAAAGCAATGTATTTAAGCAATACATTCTTCTTTTTTAAAATGGTAAACAGATGCTTTTTAAAAAGGCACAAGATCACTTGCACTATTTTTTAAATTTTAAAAATGTGTTAAATACATAAATGAATTAGGATGCGATGACAAAAAATATATAGTTAATAGCAATGTGGCCATCAAGGCTAATCAAGACAAAGCATGTCTTTATTGTTTTACAATTGGAAATCTTTACAGAAATGAAAACTTGTTTATAGGCAAGCTGTGACTGCCTACTAAATTCTCTTGGAGGAGTCTCTGTATTAAGTCATAAGATAGATGAATTATTCAAGCACAGGGTGAAGACTGGTGTGTGGAACAAATATTTCTGGATTAAGAATGCAAACACCTCCAAACGCTAGTAGTGGCTACTAAAAATAATGGTACAGATATTTGTCATCCCCATATTAAATGTAGTGGTTACTAATAAAAAGTCCATTAAGATACAGTAATTCAAAAAGGATACATGAGATACTACAGTTTTTATCCCTCACAAAGAATAGGAATTAACTGAGGCATGTCAGATACTGCAATAAGGTAAGTCTGGTAAAGCTGACTTTACAATGGAAATTTACCTTTAAAAAAGTAGTTACCAATACGTCTTGTGTCTAATTATGTCTTTACTTCGCTGATAAACACATACATAATAAAGTTAAAAATAAGAAATATAGCTTTTCTACCTTCTCCAAACATGTACATCTGTTTCTAATGCAAACAGCAAATCTGTCAGCAGCCTCTGGTGCATTGGAGACCATTTAAACTCTGGAATACGAAACATAGTTGTGCGTGGACCTGGACTAAACTGGCGTCGTTGTTCTTCTGTCATTGGCATTCCTCGAAATCCCAAGTCAACTCGCAAGTCTCTGTCTTGCTGGGTAACAGACCGACCTTGCACAGCCTATGTTAACAAAAAGTTCAAAGTTTGTGTTAAACATATGCAATGAATTCTAACAATGCACATGGATAAGATTTGGAGAAGGAGGGGCTATAATTGGAGCTGAAAATAAAAAAATAAAATATACCAGTAGTGCCCTCCAGATAAAGTTGGTGTCATTTGATGTAGCCTCATTGAAACTACTCTGATTTACGCCAGCTAACAATCTGGCCTCACATCTGGGCCTTCCTTTCAGTTGTTTAGTGACATTTTGCATTTCAGATTCCTCAACGTGCACCCTGAAGGGATTTTGTTTGCAGTGTGTTTATTTTTGGCAAGTTGATCCTGTCTAGATATTTTGAGGGAAGTGAGAGAGACACTCTATACCTCGGGGGAGCGCCCTGTAACCCCCATATTTATATATAATTGTGATCATGCAAATAAAGCATGCCATGTGAGGTGTCAGGGGAAAGGTTATGATCTGCTGAAAGTCATTGTTCTATTTAAATATTGCATATGAAATTATAAGAATTGAGTTGTATGGTTTTCACTAAAATATGCTGTTGGTGTGGGAAGTGCCCAGATACTAGCTCTCCAGATATAACGACAAGGGAGGTAACTAAAGCCTGGGTGGGTGCTGAGCAGATATCACCAGCCATTGTCCAGCAGAGGAGTTACAATTCAATGACTCACAGGAGACGACGTGAATCAGCAATGCCCACCAGAGATGCCTGGACTTGTGTTCTCCAAGCACATGGGACTAAAGGTATAAAACAAGACACAATGGCCCCATGCTTGGCCTTTTCTCCTCCACACTCCCCACCTATGCTGCAAGCAACAAAGACACTCGGAAGACTGAAGACTCCAACAGAGGATACTGGCCCAGGTTTCAAGGGTGAAACCTGTGTACTGTGATCTGCAATATCCAGTGGGGTGAGAAAAACTGCTTAATCTAGATGTTGCCCAGTCTAATAGGGTTGAGAGTTTAGACTGCATGCTTATATTTTATTTTGGTAACCACTCTGACTTTTTGCCTATCATTTATAATCACTTAAAATCTATCTTTTTGTAATCAAACTTATTTTACTGTTTATCTTTACCAGTGAGTTTGCCTGAAGTATTTGCTAAATCTGCTCAGGTTTACAAAGGCTGGTGGTATATCCATTGATGAAGTGGTGAGCCAATTAATAAACTTGCACTACTCATCTTGAGCAGTCCAAGATGGCATGTTCCTGAGGTACAAGGCTGGAGCTGGGAGGATTTGGCTGGTGTCTCTCTCTGTGTGATTCATGAGTGGCTTTGGGAGCATTCATGCAATCTAGCTGGGGTGTGGGGCTCCACATGCGGTTGCGCTGAGTGATAACAGCATCTGGAGGAGTTTGCAGCTTGTCACTAGCAAAGCATTGTGAGAGAGAGCCTAGGCTGGAGAGTTAAGGGGGCACAGCTGTCCCACAGTCTCAGGCTGTACCCCGGGGATCCCGTCACAGGGGGTATTAATGTATACTTTTTTAGAAGGATCATCATCATAGTCTTTTTTTCTCAGAAGTACAAATCTAGCTTTCCAGGTATCTTGTACCTGATTGTGTCTTAATTGAGCAAGTTTTCTGGCGTACCACGACAGCCTTTAGTGTCTCCTAGCAGGTGGCTGATTTGTGGGTTATATAGTTTTAATTTCTAGGTAGTCCTGAGCGGTTTTTACTTGGTGAACACACGCAAAGGAGAAAAAGGAATTTAGTGTGATACACAAGATTACTGGGAGGAAAATTTTAGAGAAAGAATTTAAACTGAATGTTAGGAAAATCTTCCTAATGATGAAATCACCCAAAAAAGAAATAGTAGAAGCCACATTGCTTGGGATTATTTTAAAAGCAGACTAGACAATACAAAAGAAATTTTATTGTAAGGAATAATATAGCATTAGCCGAAGATGGATTGGGTGATCTTTTCTTTTCGTCTTTTCTATTCTAAATGAAACAAATTTAGAACAAGTTGCTTTAAATGGCATTTTAGTTAGTGGATTTTTTTTAATCACACTCAATTGCAAATTCCTGAATACTGCATGCTGATTGTCAGGAAAAAAAGACATCGATGGTGTATTTATTTTTGCATTGTAAAAAGCAGAATAGTACAGAAACCCAGCTCTAAAGTTCACTTGATCTTTAGTCTGAAATGTTGTAACCTCCATTTTGAGAGCAGGAGAGGGACACATTGTTAACTCAATTGTCAAACTGGTCTGTTAAGATCTACATTTCTGCTGCTACTGCTGCTTGTCTATTTTATATCTCCTCAGAATAATTTTTACAGACTTGATCCTACACCAGTGAAGTCATGGGATTTTTACCATTGATTTAAATGAGACCAGGTACAGCTCCTAAAACCTGGGAGACAACAGTAATTAAAATAAAGTATGTGGGAACAAAAGGAGGAGGAAATTTCACCTAAAAATGGAATTTGGAAATATCAAGAATATTTACACAAGTTGGAGAGATCTTTCAGTCTTGAATTCTGTGGCCATAGTTTTCCTAGTGATTATATAAAATATCTGTACTGTGGTTTAGTCTTTTTCTGCATCACATACTAAACAAGTATTTAGTATTTAGAATAAACACTTTTAATTTTAGTAGTTTTTAGTACCCTCAGTAAGGATAAGGGTGCCATTGTGCTGGGGACTTCTAACTCGAAAGATTAAAGAGATAGTCCCTGGCCTGATGAATTTACAATCTGAACAAAAGGCAACAAGTGAATTTATCAAAGGAGGGGGGAAGGGAGAGACAGGAGAAAACACAAGAGTAACAGTGACAAGATAAGATAGCGTAGCTCTGCCTATTTTATTATCTCTCTATATGTATAGATCCATATATAGATATTGGTTAAAACAGGAAAGAAGAGGAATATATCCCTACATCCTTCTCCCTTTGATATTTTAACCAAAAAAACCTACACTACACAATAGAAGCAATCTGTTCCCCATTACTCCCCGATTTCTCAGTCCATTTGCTGATTTTCCTGGAATCAGCAGTCTTTGTTTGATGATTTAGACTAAGAATAAAAACCATCTGGCAACTGAAAAAAATCACAGTTTGAACAGCTTTGACACCTTCTTCTTTACTAAAGGTTTTGGGGTTTTGTTTTTCTCTATTATGCAGAGTGACTTAAAATGTGGCAGATCCTATACCTTGCTTGAGGTGCTGCAGTAATTTTGAGAAGGTTTTCACCAATTTGAGAGTTTGCATACAAAAGAACCCATGCTCCCTCTCATGGCACTTGTCAATGCATAAGTCAATGTACTGTACCTACATGCCAAATGCAGGAAGTGGAGGAAGAGGCTCAGTATCTCTGCTCACTGAAGCTTAGCATTACTCTTTTTCAGTCTCCTTGTTAAAGGAACGTTCTTCTCCCTGAACAGTAGGGGTAGATACAGGAAAGCCAGAGTCTGTTACTTTGAGAGGAGTACTGTAGTTTTTGTGGGGAGGGAACTGCCTTCTGGAAGCCCTGAATTCTCAATATCTGAGAGAGACTACTACAGATTCTGGAGTTCTTCATGCAGCAGTGTTCTTCAGAAAGACAAGGTAGCCTTAGATGTCTGATCAGATGATGACCATTGTGCTGCTACAGGTATCAGTATTCCTCTCAAGGTGTTCCTGATGCTATGTTAAGTGGTGCGTGCTGCAAACTACTATACATAATCCTACCAGGCCAGCATCTGTATCAGCTCTACCTGTCATCCCTAGTTTCAAGGGACTTGGTTGACTACTGAATCCATCTGACCACCTCTCTAGAGGAGTAACCTGTGTACATGGTTGTTTGCAGAAAGTTGTTTGTTCATTTTAAAAGTTCTCTCTAAATCAGACTCTCTTTTTGCCAAGTAAGTCTTTACCAAGAATCCTTAAGTGGATGTGGCAATCGCTAGAGTGGCAAGGTGATGTCATCCATTTCCGCACTCTGGAGATTCTCAGCAAAGATCTCAGTGTCTTTCTGTAACACTGAATACAAGAGCCTCCATGATGCCAACAATGTATGCACAATCCTGGAAGTGAAGTCAGGCTTATCCTCCCACTTTAGCAGCTTGAAACAATCTTTATCCTGTACCTGAGGATCAGGTAATTCTGGGACTGTCAGTATTCCTGTAGGGGGAGGGGGAAACTGAATTGAAGTGCTGTCTGTTGAGACACAGCCTCATGGTGGTGGAGTGAGACCAGTGGTGTAAAGCCTGGCCATGGAGGGAGACAGTAGGGCTGGAAGGTGGGCAACAATAAGGCAATCCAAACTGGAAACTGAGTTCCTGTTTCCCATGCATATGTGAATTGTTGGCCCAAGTTGATGATGTTTGCTATTGTCATGCAGAGGGCACAGGAATGTGCCCCGGTGCACAGCAGGTAAGGTGAGCAGCAGTGGCGAGGAAGAGAGGAGAGGAATAGTGACCAAATGAAGTTGTTCTGGCCTGGAAGCTCTTAGAACTTCAGCAGGGCCAGCCTAGAACCTAGGAGGGGCTCTAAGTCTGGTGGGCTCCTTGGTCCTACTGTGAAATCCGCAGAAGAGGTGGAGAATTTCCAAAACCCTAGGCGCTCCTGACCTACTCAGCAGAGCATTGATTGTGTATCATAGTAAAAGAGATTGATCTGTTTTCTGCCTAGAATTCATAGCCATTAAGAGGGCTTGGGAAGAGAGATCTTGTCTGCTACCTTGCTCCTTTTTTCCTGAGCATGATCCACTAGATACCTTGAAGGAAAAGAAGGATTTCCAGTGGCTACCTTTGGTAGTCAGGTAAAGCTTTCCCAGCATAGTCCTTTGGGGGTCTGAGAGAGTCAGATATGTTGAAGCCCTTACCAGAGACCCCAGTGCAGAAACACAGACACAGACTAAGGATGTGAATAATTCTCTTTGGGCACAGTCAGGGAAAGCCATATACTGTGGGTGTTCCATTATCAGAAGAGTTTCTCTGTAGTTTAGGAACTTCTTTTCTCTATGCTTCACTGCATCAACCCATAAGAGTACAGATCTCCTCATATGTTGGAGACAGCAAGGACTGGTAATGATTAGGGCTCCGTGTCTGTCATGGAGTTCGTGGAAGTCACAGATTCCATGACTTCCCACGACCTCCATGACTTCTGCAGTGGCAGTGTGGCTGACCTCAGGGTCACCCAAGCAGCTGGCTTCTGAGACCAGGGGACAGCCTCACCAGCCGCAGCTAGAGCAGCCGCGGGGACAGCCAAACCAGCCACTGCTCGGGCGGCCCTAACAGCGGTCCTGGGGCGGCCGGAGCAGCTGTGGTCTGCTGGCCCCGGCCGTGGTCCCTGGGTGGCTGGCCAGAGTAGCTGCAGTCCGCAGCCCCCCAGAAGCTGGTGCTGCAGACAACGAGCAAACCCAGCAGAAGCCCCCCCACGTGACCCCCTCCAACATTAGTTACAGGTATTTTTAATACAAGTCATGGACAGGTCACAGGCCGTGAATTTTTATTTATTGCCCATGAGCTGTCCATGACTTTTACTAAAAATACCCATTACTAAATTGTAGCTTTAGTAATGATGAGATAGTAAGGCTCTTATATGCATAGGATATTACCACCAAAAAAGTTTTGAGTACTGTCTCCAAAGTTGAAACTCTACCCAAACACTGATTGGCACAGAGAAACAAAGAGAATTAAACCATAAGAAACACTGGAATTTATATTTTATTATACTCTGTCTTACCAAAAAGCCTAAGTAAAATACAGCATGGTTGTAGCCATGTTGGTCCCAGGTATTAGAGAGACAACTTGGCTAAGGTAATCTCTTTTACTGGACCAACTTCTATTGATGTGAGAGAAGTGGGTCCAATAAAATTATTACCTCACGCACCTTGCTTAAGTAAAATACAAACATTTCTAGCCTTAAAACAGAAAAAAAGAATTTAGATGCATACAATAAACGTTTTTAATTATTAGTCACATTATCCACAAGAAATAAATCATGTGGGCTAATAATATATTTCTCCAGCAAAATTTTTAAAGTGATATTCCATAATTGCAATGAGTGAGATTTTCTTATGGTAAAATAACATCATTAAACATGGACCAACCATTTTGAAAATAAAAATGTTTGCAAGACATATTTCTGATATGATGCTAAAAAGAATACCTTTAAAAGTTGGCCACAGCAGTGATTAGATATACTTTTGTGATTGGATTAATTATCCTGTAATCAAATACATATATGTCACATACGGATATAATTATAGCACCTCTAACTTACTTGGGTTGTAGTAGTTGTCTGGATCTTCCTTATCTCCTTCCCTGCTTCTTTACCATCATCAGATCTTTCTGTATCTGATATTATACTTCCTGCATCAACATTAGGTAGACTTTTGCTACCAGAAGACTCTGTCTCCAGGGTTGTAGCTGTCATCTCAGCATATTCTAATCCTTTGGATGATGAAGCTAACTCCCTTTCAGAAAGGTTGCTCATTCCATCTGAAGTGGTATGAATCTTGAACTCCTTATCCTCTATTATACTTGAAGTACATGTTATATCTACACTACCAGTCATGTGAGCAAGCAATCCAAGATCATCACTTACACCAAGATGCATTTGAGTCTCTTGTACATTTGGAATAGTAATGTGATTACTGGAAAGTTCAGGGAGAAGTTTCTCTTCTTGGTTGGGTATTTTATCAAAAAGAAATGAGGTATTGTTAGTAGAAGGTTCATCTTTCTCGTCAGCCAGTGTTATCAAAGGCCCATTATCCTTCTCTTCGCTTTTCTTAATGATACCAACACTACCATGGACATTGTTTTGGAGTTTCTCAACAGCAGCACAATATACGTTATCTAAAAGGGATTCAACTTCCACGAGGGCACCATTCTCTCCAGTTACCAGAGTCTCTGGTGATAAATCCATATCATCAAGCTTTACTTCTGTGGCTTCTACCTTTTCAGCTTTTATATCAACTAACAGATCATGAACCTCAACATGTACACCCCCTCCTGGTCTATCTGAACTTCCAAGCACATCATCTGACACCTTTGTAGCCATGAGCAAGTCCCTGGTATCTCTGCTGACAGGGTAATCTGTTTCACTTTCTGGGCTTTGGCTTTGTGAAAGGTCTTCTATCTCTCGAATTTCCAGTCCACCTTTTGCTCCTGTTGTCTGAGATGAAAGGCCTGAGATAGTGCTCACATTCCCCTTTTTCCCCTTTTTTATGTTCTCTTCCTCTTGCCTTTGATATTCTTCATACATTTTTGCTAGATACTCCTTGTGAGCTTCATAGGTGACCTTAAATGGAACATGACAGATCATAATTTCAGAGTAAATATATACTTTATCAATTTGGGGGGGGGGGGGAAATCAATAGTATAATTAATGTATAGTTCATTAAACATTTCACAGCAAAGAACTCACACTAATAAAGAAAAATGCTAAACTATCATGCCCTATGCTATCCACAAGATGGCACTAAATCACTTTACATTGTATCTACTGTATTACTGGCCCCTTTGGCTTAGGGAGATATTGGGATCAACAGAAACTCCAGAAACTAATTCTTACCTTGGAATGTGCTATAGAAAGAGTATCCACCCAGACCCTCCAGCCTCCCCATTCATATTTTATTGCATGATACAAGAGAATACGGAAGATGTTGTACACCATCTCTGTGATTTTCTGTTCTTCAGAGTTCTTAGGGTTAATATATCCCAGAGAAAACATCCAGTCCTGCCACACCGAACACTGAAGTAAACATCTAAAGTAAAATAATTAGGTCAAAATATATCCAAATGAAATTCAACTTTTTTTCATTTTTTAAATTCAGATGAGTAAAACGGGATAAAAAACAATTGAAATAGCCTCTCTCCTATGAGCTTCAATGTAATCTTAATAGATCACTTATTTTTGTTTTAAATTCATGATCTTAAAATGTTAAGTAAAGCATTGTGAACAAAACAAAAATATCTATCACTGATTTAAAATTAACTACCGGATGTTCATACCATTTGTTTTAACCACATATTTATTGCATATTATGTAAAACTGCACATTACAATAGTCAAGACTTTTATCCAAAATTTCTTGTGTGTTAACGACATTGAGTGTGGCAACAGGTGACCTATTTCTGTTATTGGGAGAAATAATATTTGATTTACATACCTTCTGTTTTCACGACTATTACTGAAAAGTTTTATCATATCAGATAAAAACAAACGCCGAACTTCCATCAGCTCTGCACTTGGTGTGGAATTTTTTAACAATGTTGCCACCACTTTAAGAATCACTGTAAAAGAGCAAATATGTTACATAACACATTTTTAAATCCCATCCAAAAACCAGCTGTTGAAATCATAAAAGTATTGAATAAAAGCCAATTTTCTTTGAAGTATTCAACATATTAACTGCTCTTGCAATGTGAAATAACACTTTCTTAAAAAAACAACCTCTCGCCATTAATTTGAAACAAACAAAATAATCTCCTTACTTGGATTCTGAATTTTCACTGTAGAATCTGGCTCTGGATGTGGTTTATGAACAACTTGAGTGCATACTTGTTCTGTCAAAATCTAAAACAAACCAATTATTTATTTACCATCTATTAATTTTATAGCATAAACTTCAAATTTCTATTTGATCTTATTGTGCTGTGGTTTATTATGAACAATGGAACAATGTGTGTGTTAGGCCTTGATACAAAAAATGCTTTAGTAAAAAAATAATATTGCTGCAACGATGCAAAGGAAGAAAGATTTTAATGACAAACCAATCCTGAATGCTAGGAATCAAGTTTTCATTATAATATATTAACAAATAAATGTATTCTTGGACAGCTATGAACATTTTAAAACTGTTTTTAAATGTTAAAGCACCCCCTCTCTTCTGGTTCCAATTCACCTTAATATCTAGATTATTTTTATTAGAGTTCAGTATCACCGCAGAACATTTTGCTGTAAAACTGTCAAAAATTCACATATTTCCACTACAGATAGGTGTCTCATATGTGAACATTTTGTAAATGAAATCTTGACTGACTTTTGTGTAATAGTATTATTAGTTTGAATATACAGATCTGTTCAAACCATATGCTGCCAAAAAAACGGTATGGTTTCAGGTACTGATTCAAATTAAAGAAAGCCACAGTTAATAGAAATCTATATACAACTACGCATATGGCTCAATACACAAAGAATCCTGTAGAGAATCTAAAAACTGAAGTCAGGGGAAATGTTCTCTACTATATCAAAGCTTGATGATATTGACAATTAAATTGGTTATTTGGAGTATTGGGAATATATTTTACTTTTGTAACGTAAAGAATGTAGCTTCTTGCTCTATTGTAAGTGTTAGTGATATGTAAACTATTATGTAGTTTTACTATGTACAATTCAAACTATGTTTCACCCACATTTAGTTCTACTTCAGAGTCTGTGTTAAGTGACTTCAAAATTCAAATGCTGTAAGCACTTTGGGGTCCTTCATAAACTTAATATATGGCAAAAGTGAAAAGAAAAGCTGTATATTCAATAGATTTTACAGAGGTACCGAACATGAAATGTTGCTCAAACTTTTGAAAACTTATCTCAGGGCACACCTTTCTAAAAATATCTGTATTGATCACGGAAAAAAAAAAAGTCAGACCTGCATTACAGCCCCTATGAGGGTATGTGCACAAGTACATGTATAATTAAGATTCAGCATATAATGACAGTTATTGTGTACACAAATGAAAAGTGAACTGTGCAGCTGATCATTTGTATGCAGTTACTTTGAGTATGTAATTGAAGTAACAGCACAAATTAAAGCCCAGTCCAGCAAAGCCATAAACACATGGTTAACATTAAAAGATGCATTTTTACCAAAAATATTTTATTAAGACTAGTCATAGTGATAGTGATATGGTGCTCACAGATCAACCCCTCTGTATATCAAAAATGAAATAAAAATAATCTCCCCAACTACGTAGCATCCAGGAACTAAAGAGAAATTAAATACTACTGAGGTTGAATAAATTAACTAATAGTCAATTAAAATTTCTCTGTCAACTAGAATAATAAAACTACTTGCACAATGTCAAAACTTTTTCAGTAGCTACCCAACTGCCCCCTTTTCTCTCCTGTCAATCAAACTACTGGTCCTGAATTCAGGCTGCATCGTTTGCTAGAATACAGACACCCCCATACAAAGTCATATTAGCCTCAATTTTTGATAGAAAAAAATTCCAGCTTTGTCAAAGTTGTTTTCACCTAATATTTAAATCATATTAGGGTGGGTAGAAATTAGATTTTTTTTTATTTAAATCAGATTTTTTTGATAAAATGTTGTTGAGGAAAAAAACTATCTAAAGATAGTTTTAATTAAGATACATTATAGCTCAAAGATATCTCATCATGAAATAGGGATTATAAATTCTAATTCTATAGTATGAGACAATATATTCAAGTAACGTTTAAGAAAAGTTTTGTAAATGAGTTCCAATAGTTCATGGATTAGGGACCCAATCTTATGAGGTTCCAGAGGCTTCTGTATAGATTATTTAGGTTAATCTTTCTATCCAATGGGACTCAGTGCTCAGTCTAGAAGATACCATCAGAGATGCTTAGTTTTGCAGTTCTCAAATTGTGGATTTGTGTCTCCAGAGATAACATGCTTGTTAACAGCAAAAATGGTTTTAAATAAAATAAATAAATAAATAAATAATATATAGAGAGGTGAGAAATAACAGACCTCAACCCTATTGTCCCTCCGCAAATTTGTGTGCACAGAGTCGATCCCTTTCCTCTCTCTAAAAGTGCAAAGTTTCAAAAAGTTAAATGAATAAAAGATTGTTGGGGGTGGAATAGATCTGGACAAGGAGAAGAAGTCTGGAGATAAATGTGAGAAGGGAGGGACAGGCAGTAGAAACAAAAGTGAAACTGTTTGAGCAGCATATTCCAAAAGTCTTGAGGTCTTTCCAAGTGTAGCCTTCATTGATTTGAGATCTACCATACAATTCTCTCACTAGAAGGGAAAACCTATAATGGCAGCAGGCCGTAAGAGAGACCCAGTTTGGGAATATTTTAATGAAGTCCCTCTACCTGTGGGTAAGATTGGCATGCGTGCAAAATGCAAACAGTGCAACAAAGAAATACCAGGGCTGGTGCCCGAATAAAACAACATAATGAGAAGTGTTCCTTCTCAGGAGGAAGCTGCATTGAATATGATGAAGTTAACATATCTGAACACGCAGGATCTTCAGGTTGGTAAACTTTTTTATTTCATACTTCTTTCTTAAGGACTGCCTGTCTTCCTTCTGGACTATTCTTGAATTCTCATGTTTGAGCAAAAAATATAGCTGTTACTCTATAGTACTATCATTTTAGATGCAGTTGTGATAAAAAAATAAATAGCTGAAACAGGCAGATCTTCCTTTTGCAACTTCACCTTTAAAGTAGTTCTGAGTGTTAGTGAATGCAATGAGTAGTACTAAATGAGCAGTATGGTAATAATAATTAAATAACTGCATTGACTTTTTTTTTTTTTTTTTTTAAAAGGAGAATCCATCCTCAACATACAGGATTCTGAAGACTATCCTGACAAGATCACCATTATTTTATATAGTTTCAGAGTTATCTGCCAATGATCATGTTTCAGTCACATCATGTATGTCACATAGCCACAGTATATCACCTGTAGCAAAAAGAAAAAAAAAAACCTCCATCATCCAGAAACCACCATATATAAATTTGTGATTACAAAAAGAGGTAATTGATGAAAAAATTGCCCGGTTTGTTTATGTAACAAACTCTCCTTTCCATATGATTGAGAACCCACGCTTCATTAACATTGTTCAGTCATTAAGACCAGGATACAGTCCACCCAACAGAGCAGATATCATATGCAAATTTCTAGATAAAGTGTATGAAAGAAAATTGAGCAGCGTGCAAAAGGTCTAGAGGGTGAAATTGTTAAGCAATGTCCACAACGATCCCATTGTATGCGCTTGTGTGACAACAGAAGAAGGGAATGTCCTCCTTACAGAAACAATTGATACATCAGGAAATGCACACACAGCAAAATACTTACAAGTAGCAGCAGTAAAAGCTATAACAAACTGTGAAAAAAAATTCACATGTCTAGTACGCAACTTGGTCACAGACAGTGCTGCAAATGTATCCAAGATGAGGAGAAATTATTTAGAAGAGAGTCCCAAGTTAATAACAAATAACTCAGTTGCAATGCTCATTTGATACACCTCCTAGCCAAAGACTTCAGTGTTCCAGAAATAACAGCTAATGTTGTTGAAATTGCAAAATACTTCTGTAACAACCACTTTGCAGCAGGTGCTCTGAAAAAAGTGGGAGGAACCAAGCTAACTCTCTCACAAGACGTGCAATAGAACTCAGCAGTGGACTGTTTTGAGCACTATATCAAGAACTGGCCTAATCTGATGACAAGTTAGGAACAAAATCATGAAAAAATAGATGGCACTATCACAGCCAAAGTTCTCAGCATTGGGCTTAAGAGAAATGTTGAACACATGCTGAGTACCCTGAAGCCTATTTCTGTATCCTTGAACAAAATGCAGGGAAATAGCTGTTTTATTGCTGACGCTGTTGAAATTTGGAAGGAACTGAGTGAGATCTTAATAAGAGAAATATGCAATGACAGAGTTAAATTACAAGCATTAAAGAAACGAATGGGACAAGCATTATTTCCAGCTCATTTTCTTGCAAATATTCTCAATACTCGGTACCAGGGTCAAACCTTAAATGCTGAAGAAGAGGAGTTGGCTATGACATGGACATCCAGCAATCACCCCTCCATAATGCCAACTATAATAAACTTCAGAGCTAAGGGTGAACTATTCAAGAAATATATGTTTGCTGATGATGTTTTAAAGAAAGTCACACCAGTGAACTGGTGGAAGTCACTTAAGCACTTGGATTCAGGGACTGTTGAAGTGATAATCTCACTTTTAACAGCAGTAGCTTCTTCTGCTGGTGTAGAATGAATATTTTCTTCCTTTGGACTAATTCATTTCAAATTGAGAAATCATTTGGGACCTGAAAAAGCAGGAAAGCTTGTTTTTCTTTTCCAGATTATGAACAACAGGAAAATGAAGGTGAAGATGACTGAGTTAGCTGCAGAAGCCAATATTTTAAGTTTTTCATGTTGACCTGGCTGACACAGTCAATTTAATTTTTGTTTTTTAAAAAAATGTATTTCATTTAACTATTTTAGTTAAAAACAATTTTAATAAAAACAAACCAGATTTTAAAAAGCTTGAATGCTTAACTAAATTCAAAAAATCATATGCTTCTTTTGTTAAATTATTATATGTTTGCTATTGAAAAAAAAATCCAGAATACATAACGTCGTTGTTTCAGTTAAAAATAAACAATTTAAATGTCTGTCCTGTGATGATTAGCCTGTTGAATTGGAGATAGTTCACCTCCCAATGACTTCATAAATATCTGCTTCAATTACCTTTGGTAAATGAAATAACCAAACAATCATTCATTTTCTGATATAGCTGTAAAACTAATCTGAAAAGTTTTCAAAATAAATCACTGTTTAAAAATGTATA